CAGCATACATGTTCACTCAGACCTCATCTGTAATAGCAAAATCGTCTCCCTACACCACTGAAGTACCATCAACATCTCCTGTTACATTGTCTGTTACTTCTGAAATTGAGGTGGAGGACATTGGCAGTGAATCTACAATGGTGGAGTCCATTTCTCTCATCAGTGAATCAACCATGACGCTTGAAACATCATCATTCCCCATAACCATAGATTCAGATAGTTCTGGGGACAGCACTGATAATTTCACTGAAGAGTCTCATAGTAAAACAACTACAGTGTCTTCATCTTGGACTACAGAGTCACCATCAGTGACAGCTTCCAGTCAAACTCAAACAAGTAATACTTCAACATCAACTGTAACCATAGCGTCATCACTCTACAGTACTGAGAAACCAACATCAGAATCACCTGAAACAAAAGAGAGTGTATCAACAAGTCAAACTGAGAAACTATCAGCTTCAGCAAAGACAACTTCTACCTTGTCAACGACAGATGAAGATGGATCCGGTGACCAAACAGAAAACATGTTCACTCAGACCTCATCTGTAATAGCAAAATCGTCTCCCTACACCACTGAAGTACCATCAACATCTCCGGTTACATCGTCTGTTACTTCTGAAATTGAGGTGGAGGACATTGGCAGTGAATCTACAATGGTGGAGTCCATTTCTCTCATCAGTGAATCAACCATGACGCTTGAAACATCATCATTCCCCATAACCATAGATTCAGATAGTTCTGGGGACAGCACTGATAATTTCACTGACGAGTCTCATAGTAAAACAACTACAGTGTCTTCATCTTGGACTACAGAGTCACCATCAGTGACAGCTTCCAGTCAAACTCAAACAAGTAATACTTCAACATCAACTGTAACCATAGCATCATTACTCTACAGTACTGAGAAACCAACATCAGAATCACCTGAAACAAAAGAGAGTGTATCAACAAGTCAAACTGAGAAACTATCAGCTTCAGCAAAGACAACTTCTACCTTGTCAACGACAGATGAAGATGGATCCGGTGACCAAACAGAAAACATGTTCACTCAGACCTCATCTGTAATAGCAAAATCGTCTCCCTACACCACTGAAGTACCATCAACATCTCCGGTTACATCGTCTGTTACTTCTGAAATTGAGGTGGAGGATATTGGCAGTGAATCTACAATGGTGGAGTCCATTTCTCTCATCAGTGAATCAACCATGACGCTTGAAACATCGTCATTCCCCATAACCATAGATTCAGATAGTTCTGGGGACAGCACTGATAATTTCACTGACGAGTCTCATAGTAAAACAACTACAGTGTCTTCATCTTGGACTACAGAGTCACCAGCAGTGACAGCTTCCAGTCAAACTCAAACAAGTAATACTTCAACATCAACTGTAACCATAGCGTCATCACTCTACAGTACTGAGAAACCAACATCAGAATCACCTGAAACAAAAGAGAGTGTAACAACAAGTCAAACTGAGAAACTATCAGCTTCAGCAAAGACAACTTCTACCTTGTCAACGACAGATGAAGATGGATCCGGTGACCAAACAGAAAACATGTTCACTCAGACCTCATCTGTAATAGCAAAATCGTCTCCCTACACCACTGAAGTACCATCAACATCTCCGGTTACATCGTCTGTTACTTCTGAAATTGAGGTGGAGGACATTGGCAGTGAATCTACAATGGTGGAGTCCATTTCTCTCATCAGTGAATCAACCATGACGCTTGAAACATCATCATTCCCCATAACCATAGATTCAGATAGTTCTGGGGACAGCACTGATAATTTCACTGAAGAGTCTCATAGTAAAACAACTACAGTGTCTTCATCTTGGACTACAGAGTCACCATCAGTGACAGCTTCCAGTCAAACTCAAACAAGTAATACTTCAACATCAACTGTAACCATAGCGTCATCACTCTACAGTACTGAGAAACCAACATCAGAATCACCTGAAACAAAAGAAAGTGTATCAACAAGTCAAACTGAGAAACTATCAGCTTCAGCAAAGACAACTTCTACCTTGTCAACGACAGATGAAGATGGATCCGGTGACCAAACAGAAAACATGTTCACTCAGACCTCATCTGTAATAGCAAAATCGTCTGCCTACACCACTGAAGTACCATCAACATCTCCTGTTACATCGACTGTTACTTCTGTAATTGAGGTGGAGGACATAGGCAGTGAATCTACAATGGTGGAGTCCATTTCTCTTATCAGTGAGTCAACCAAGACACCTGAAACAGCACCATACCCCGTAACCCCAGATTCAAATCGTTCTGCAGATGAGTTCACAGATGCTACCCAGTTTTCTAACACTATTAAGGCATTGACGGCATCAGAATCTGAGTCAGGAAGTGGTGACGTTCCTGATGTACAGGGCTTGGGAGATGAAACTTCCTCAGAAACAGCATCCCTTCATTCCTCAGTGGAACATAGCACCGTATTAATGACAACATATAGTCCATTAGTTACAACCACGTTCATCGAAGAGAAAAGCTCAAGTGATAGAGAATTTTTGACAGTCACAACAATCCCATATAGATTTGAAACCTCTCAACCGTTGGCAGTACCCAGTGTCACTGTATACCACTCGAAGGAAACCTCTACTTTTATCGATATGGAGAGCTCTGGTGGCTTACTTGCTGAGGATGATTTGGAGTCAAGTTCAGACGGATCTGGTACAGATGTATCCGTTGAGACTACATCCAAACCACAAGAAGAAGGTACTGTGGCAACAGATGAGACTGAAATAGATGAAACCGACAGAACATCTGCCATGTCAACCGCTGCATCTTCAACTCTCTCCAGTACACATCCTATAAGGCAATTTATACCATCAACCCAATCACCACACATTACAAGCACTGAGGTCTACAATATTGAGCACGGCAGTGGAGTTTTCCCTGATGACTCTGCAGAAGGTGAAAGTTCTGGTGCTGACCTTTTCATTGGATTAACTACATTTAAACCAATCCCAAGTTCTCCAGTGATGCCCACTGCTACAGGCTCAAACGAAATGATTTTTTCATCTAGTGCTGCTGCTGTCAGTCAGGAGGGATTTACCGACCAAACGACGGATCTGTCCAACGACAATGTTATAACACAAAGAACGATTGCCGCTTCTTCTGTTTACAGCATTGATAATCTAACAGCAACATCTCCTGAAATGCACACACTCCAAACAACTGAGACCTCAAAGTCATTAGTGGACAGCGTCACATTTGGAGAAGCAACCGGCGAAACTGAAACCTTTGTGTCAGTCACACCAACCTCTGATGAGCAGGTTTCCTCAGAGGAAGGCAAAATTACTCCAGAAACACACAGCCCCACCGCTTCTGAAGCTTCGACGCTTCCTCTTTCTAGCATTGGAGAATATAAAGTTAGTGTAGCTGAGGACACAACGCAATCCTCCTATACAACTATGTCTCCCTGGACAATTGGAGTTTCAGTGAGTGATCGCTCTACGGTTGAACTCACCACTTTAAGCTCTATGAGTGAACAAAAGCCGGACAGATCCACATTGATGTCCTCTGCTATTCCCTCCATTATTTATCATAGCATTACAGACCAACAGGTCATGATCATTACTCCCAGTAGCAGCCAATCCAAAACTGACCAAACTGAACAAACGCCTACCATGATTCTCCATGTGTCTAAACCGTCAACCAGCACAACCATCATATTTACAGAAGATGCGAAAGATGAAGATGATTTGTTCTCTGCAGTGACAGACACTATGAAGGGAAGCAGCATCACTTCTGAGCGTACCACCAAAGATGATAAAATCATTGATGCAGATTCTATATCCATAGTTCCCGCTTCATTTTACCCTACCATCCAAACAGAGGAAGCTGGAGGTGTCACACCAGTTACAATGACACGAAATTTGGAGGTAACAGAGGAATCTGAGGGTTCAGGGACAGAGAGTGCCACCTTCTCTCCTCCAGAACCAATAACTCTATATGCAACGTCAACAAGTTATTTGCCATTAGACTCAACATCTTCTGAATATTTACCAGTCACTTTAAATCCATCAACCGTAGAAGGTGTGTCAAGTATTCAGACATCCACTGATGACACTGTTACATCTGCACCACAGTCCACGCCAGCAACTACTCTTTCCACAAAGTCAAGCTCTGAAGAAACAACGGATTTATCTACACCGCATACAGGTTTCCTTATTGGAACTGATACCAAACCTTTTCCAGAGCAGGCGGAAGAGGATTTATCAGGGAAGGACACTGCTGATAATGTCACCCACTCTATAGCTGAGATCACAGCTTCCTCATCTTTGCCACCTCAAACTCTAACTGGAACATCAAACAAAAGCTCGGTCCCTCCTGTGTCCAGTGAGGAGTATATTATTAGCACAGTTGCCATCACACCCACACCTGCGTCCACTGACCCCGCCACAGTGAAATCAAGTAGTGAAGCAGTGATATCTACAGTCTCTTCACCGTTCAGCACTGAGAGACCAACTGTTGCCCTGGATACAGGACTAAAAGATGGGGATATTTCAGTGAACCGAAACCAAAGTATGCTCACTGAGGGCATGCCAACTTCACCTGTAACGGTTTCAGTAAGTTCACGTGAACCTTCCACCGATGGGACTAAAATTGCTGCTTCCAGTCTTTACAGCACAGAGAAGCCAACTGTCACACCATCTTCTAAAGTTACTGGGAAAGATAGATCACATGATGACACTTATTTGACAGAGCATGTGACACAGACGGCCGCTTTTCTGCACAGCACAATGAAAATGGACCAAATGCTAACATTATCCCCTCCTTACAGCACAGATATGTTTTCAAGTGAGGAGGGCTCTGGGGCTGAGATATCAGATACACAGACTGCTTTACCTAAGACAAGCACACATCAAACCGATAGTGTTACGCTTGCTGCAAAAATCTCTACAAGCACACAGATCACAATAGTGAACACCACAATGCCGGAAGATCTCATTTACTTTGAACCTACTTCAAATGGCTCATCAGCATCACCATCGTCACAGGCAGATGTTATAGTCCAATTTGTCACAACAGATTCCCCTGTACATCACCTAACAACCACCCAGAAGTTATTTGAACAGGCAAGGTCAGAGGTCTCACCAAAAACAGTTATAGAATCGTCAACTTTGCCTACAGCGTCTTCTCTGGTCGCTGAAGGCAGCGGGGCAGTTGAACCAGCTGTTGATTTGTTTTCAAGTGGTGCAGAGATTGAACCATCTCCAGATACAGATGTCCAAATAGGAACTTCAACGGAGAATATCAATGATGGCAATATAGATAATTCGACGCCAGATTATGATGCAGCAAACCTCAACAGAGTTGAAACAGTTCCAGATAGCAACAAAACATCACCTGATCCTCAAACATCTGAAAGTCAGAATGTTGACGCCTTGAGCAGTACTGGAAGTCGCTCAGAAGAAAATGCAACCAAATCCCCAGTAGTGGCATCAGCAGACATAACTTTCTTAGCTCCTGACAGTGTAGAATCCTCCTCTAGTTCTGAGAGTGGTTCTGAAAGCACAGGCAGCTCAGAGGAAAGCATTGTCGCAGGAAGCACTGCTAGTGGGGAGGTTGGGAACATCCTCGCGGAACATGGATCCGTCAGTTCTGAGAGTGTGTCCGGTGAAATGACAACTACCAAGAAACCAAAGATTAACACCATAGAGGAACAGTCTCTGCCCCGAGAGGAAATCCAGACTGTATTCAAAGTTGATGCAACCGCAGCTCCAGAGATGGAGTCAACCAGTGTTGGTAGAACATCTGAGAAAGAAGATGTTATCCGTGAAATGATTGTCACTACTCACTCGAGGACCCATACAGAGTTCACAACAATGACACCAGATCAAACACAAAGCTTGCCAGTTTTAGTTGAATCTGTTGCCACCACTCCATCATCTTTTTCGGAGGAGGAAGGCAAACCGGACAAAGACACAGTACACATTGGAGGAGAATCCTTAATAAGAGGGGAGGAAACAACTGTGATAACTGACACTGCTTTGGGGCAGACCATTGTGGGAGAGACTGTTGAAATTCAAGGTATGCTTCTTCAAACTGTCTCAACGAATACAACAAAATATTTTGAGTAAGAAAAAATGTCCTTTAAATACAACTTCTGTCTTGCTTTTTCAAATCTCCCAACAGGAGTTAACTCGTGTACAGAAAACATCTGTCTCAACGGAGGTTCTTGCTCCAAAAGTGGCAGCATCTATATATGTACCTGTGCTCCAGGTTACAGTGGTGATCTGTGTGAAACAGGTGGGACATTATCAAGAATTTCTCTCATAATATCTCACTATCTAAAAACACCACTCATTTTTTTACTGTCATGGCGACCTGTCCTTTGGTTTTTATGATGTCTGTTTCTTTGATAGATTTTGATGAGTGCCAGTCAAATCCTTGCCGCAATGGAGGTACATGTGTTGACAGGCTGGCCTCCTTTACATGTGTGTGCCTCCCAAGCTACTCTGGGCTGCATTGTGAGGAGGGTAAGCTTTTGGTTCATTTGATGTTTTCCCTTTTGTTTAAATGAGTTCAACCATCCATCCAAGTGGTCTAGTTTCAGCCATTCAAAACATATTATAGAATATACAATTGTAATCTCATTAGCCAATACTGAATTTAGTGATGTGTTTAGAAAAATAGATTATAAATCATTCAAATTTCTGCCAAACCCCAAAAATACAGTCAAAGAGAATTTCCATAAGTCTCTTTAGGGCATTATCTGTCGTAAACCGCTACATCATCATCATCATCGTCATCTCAACTTAGTCTCTTTTTAGTACTGCCGGTCTAGGAAGTCTGATAATACCTCCACCACCCTCGAACTTGAGTTTCCACACACAGACAGTTTTAGCTGCTCAATGTCACATAAAGTGTGCGCATTATCTCTAGTGTTAAACTCAGGACATCATCTGCCTTGACTGACCTCTCTTGACCAGTCTACTCCCTACATTTTTGTTCTGTATCACTCATCGGTGAATCACACTACTGCTATGTACTCAGACAGAGCTGCTGTCTTAGAAAGTTTTGGCAAGGGAAAGAGAGAAAAAGTGACTTGATGAGGAACCACCCAGAGAAAGACTCCGGCGAGTATATTTTGGGACACACACCATCGTTAAGTTCAAGATGAAGGTGGTATTCAGGTGTGATAGAGAAACTTTGGTGAAATAATATAAAAATATGTGCCCATTTAACTTCCCACTTCATCCCAAATCTATTTTGAATCTCATCACATTGACTTCTGAGTTTGACATGAATGTAACCTGTTTGTGACGGCATAGCTCATGCTCCATTAATTTACCAGACTATAATTTGGAACACATTCATAATGCACTCTTAGTAAAACATAACTCCTCTACCTCTGTAATCGCACCAGCTAGTTGTGGTCTTTCCTCCACTTCCTCATAGTGCCGCTGTTAGGGGTGTACGAACTAATCCTTCACATTGTTTCTCTTCCAGTTTGAATTGGAAACAGCACTGTAAAGGAACAGTGTACTAAATTATTCAAAGCACTGTGTATACAATAGAAAAGATTATTTCATGACTAGATAGCTTAAGTTAAATAGGTGCAGCAAATGTTAATTATAATATATTTTGTCTGGCAATCTGTTGCAAAATTGTTTATCCTCAATACCTCATTCCCTCTTTCTTTCTCACCCACCAGATACAGAAACATGTGAGTATGGCTGGCATAAATTCCAGGGCCAGTGCTACAAGTACTTCCCCCACAGAAGGAACTGGGACACAGCCGAGAGAGAGTGTCGCATGCATGGGGCTCATCTCTGCAGCATCGTGGCCCACGAGGAGCAACAGTTTGTCAACCGTAAGTCAAAGCTCACAAAGGTAGTCGATCGTAAAGTAAAGTACAGAAACCTGTACAGTCCTACCTTATGAATCCTACATTATTATGTAGGATTTAAACCCACACTGATGTAGCTGGACAGAAAATGAACAAAAATGATTCAAGCATCAAAAAATCCATTGCTTGCTCTTGCACTTTCTTCCTAAAAAGGAAATATGGCAACAGAGAAACATAATCTGCTGTGTTTCACTCCACCCGTTTGGCAGGTCTGGGACAGGACTACCAGTGGATTGGCCTTAATGATAAGATGTTTGACAGTGACTTCCGCTGGACTGACGGCAGCCCTGTGGTAAGATCGGTCGCTTTCTCATATAGTTTTGTCCCAACAAACGTGGCTCAGATTCAATACCAATGTTTGGAGGAGATGCTGATAGATACAGTCATCTAGGGAGAGTCATTTTAATTCAGGGGGTGTGGGGAGTTTCTCATGACGTATTCTCCTCTGCCTCACACTGCTACACCCGGCTGGCTAACGGCTCTGGGGATGAATCTGATGGAGCACACACTGTAACGCACCACGGTGTGAGTGCTTTGAAAAAGCAGCTGCAAATATGCAAGGAGTTGACAATGCAATGTAAAACAGCAGGCAAGGGAGGGAACTGCACTCTTGTTCTTAAATGCAATGTTTACAAAAAGCACCGAAGTGGGAGCGTGTTTGGTGCAGGAATTGTAGTTGCTGAAGATCCTGCTTACCAGACAGGAAAGTTGCTAATTACTGTGTGCTTCCGTGTCGTACGGATAGATAATTCTCTCACTTCAAACGGGATCCTCAAGGACCAAAGATAAGGGCCCGAGGGCAAAGAGATAA